CCAAGGGCTTGAGGCTTTTTCCAGGAGTTCTTGCAGCAGCCAGGGTGTCTCAGGAGATGAGCTAAGGACAGTGCACAACAGACACCAAAAACCCAGACACCCCTTGGGAATGTGATCCCCTCTCCAGGCTGACCCTGCAGTGACCCTCAAAGCAAGCCCAGGGGAAAGCAGTTGCTCTGAGTTTCATTTAATCAATCAGGGCCATTATGTGACTAATGAAGGATGTGTGTGCCTTGAGCCTGTTCTGGTTTTCCCCACGCTGCTCTGACACTTGAGGAGCATTGTCCTTTGGCAACAGCCATGTGAAGCCAGAGGCCATGGGGGAGCATCCTCTGGCTGGTGAGCGCTCCCCTACCCCCCAAATGCTGGTGCTCCCCAGCTCTTGCAGGTGCAGCCCCCCAGGTTCCCTGCGCTGGGACCGTGGCTGTTGTGCTCCCACTGCTTGAGTCATTCAGAGACGCTTCCAACGTGAGAAACCAGAGAAAGGAGAAGTGGTCCACTGACCCACTTACTGTAGGGAGACACAGGGGACGAGAGAAAGCGGTTGGCAGCTCTGCTCCATGTCTGGGGAACCTCAGGGCTGGATTTGCTGGATACTTAGGGGGGTTGGTGCCATCGGCTGCACTGTGCTGCAGCTCCCTCGGGGTCCCGCTGGCTGCTGGTCGGCTGATGGGTGAGCTGTACGGGGCTGCAGCCCCTCTTTGCTCCGTCATTGCTGGGGTGCAGCAGCCGAGCAAGGTCTGCCAGGTTTTTCTCCTCCAGCCTGGAGCTTTGGTTCCCAAGTAGGGAGTTTTTTTCCCCCAAGGACAGGTGTGGGCTTTGCTCCTGCTGTGATTTATCTGCACTTGGGCCAGGGTTTGTCTCTCCACCTGGGCTGGTTTTGCAGCAGCCTGGATGGAGACAAAATGCCTGGGCTGGTGGTTTGTTTTAATATTTTTTCTTTTTAACTGAGACAGTGGGTTCTGAAAACAGCAGCTTCCCTCAAGCCCTTGCATAGCACGGTGGGGCTGGTTACGTGGGATAAACACATCCCCTGTGACTAAATCCCAGCACTGGCTCCATAAAGGAGGCTGGAAACACCCACAGCATCCTTCACTCCAGCTGTGCAGGGAGGCACTGAAAAGGTCACAGGGATTTCCTGCAGTGTTTGGTGAAATGAGTCAGCATGGCACGCGTCCAGGAGGACACGGCTCGCAGACTGGGCAGGAGTCAGCTGGCAGCGTGTGCTCGGTGGCACGGGGAGGAAGCATGGCAAACCCACTTGGCATGGACTTGCCAAGGGCATGTCTATGGAAGAGCAGGCATGTGTCCTGCCAACCCTCAGCCTGCCACTGCTTTTTGGAGCAGCTGTGCCCCAAAACCAAGCCCTCCCCCAGGCAAGCAGGGTCCGGGTGGGATGCAGGCGGCAGCGGGAGATGCTCCAGCTTGGAAGTGCTGGTACAAGGGGCCACACCTGGTCCTTCCACCGGATCGCCGGTGCCATGCAGCACAGCCAGCGTCTCGGTGCCCTCTACACATGTGAGTGCTGGGAAGGATGAGTGCCCCGTGGGTGGCTGCTGCTTTTGAGATACCCTGCATTCCCGAGAAGCTGCCATGAGTCACTTGCTTGTTCTCTCACATACACACACAAAAAAGTCCCAGGAGAGATCAGACATGGCTCACTTTGTTCTGAGTAATTTTTATCTGCCTCAGCCTTGTATTGAGCTGAGAATTGCACAATTATGGGAATCAACCAGCACTTTCTGCATGCATGTGCATCCTTGGCTCTGGCTAAGCAGGTTTCTCCACGACTCTCAGTGGCAGGAGCCTGTCCTGGCTTCCCCACCACATTTGCACGGGAGGACAGTGCGCTGTCTCCCAAGGAGGTTTGGGGATGGGTGGATGTGCTTGCACTGCGCCTGGCTCCAGGCAGGACTGGGATGCCAGTGCCTTTCCGCAGCTCCCCCAGGCACAGCAGCCGTCTGCTACTGCCTGGCCCATCCTGTCCCAGCCGTGCATGGGCAATGCTGACGCTCTGCAACGGCACCTGCACAGGTTTGTAGGGCCCTTGGAAGCACCAGGGCTGCTAATGCTGCCCCACTTGCTGGGGCCACGTGTGCTCTTGCTGGAGCACGTGGATTTATCAAGCTGTGCTGCGGGGATGCCCGGCTCACCTCTGCATGCTTCGTTCTGCACTGGCTTTCACATGCCTGTACAAAGCCACCCCCTGCGTGCAGCGAGCGCCAGGATCTGGGCCCCCTCCCCAAGTTATTTCTGAGTGTCCTCCAGTTTCACACCTGGATTCCCCTTCCCCCAGCCTTCAGTATCTTGATAATACCATTTTCTTGCTGCTCCCTCGGGTTAGACCTAATCTCCCCAGTTTACCCTTCTGTCTCTGCATCAGGAACCTGGAGCTGCCTCCCGGTAGCTGAAAATGGTTAAACCCAGCAATTCAGCACCTGCCAGCAACACAACCCTTAATTTTTGACGGTGTCCGGGTTCTTGCTGCTGCAGCCCCCAGGGAAAGTTTTGCCTGACTCCCCTCCATGATCCCTGGATGCTGTCATCCCACGGTGCTCGGAGCATCCCTGCCATGCAAGAAGCCCCATGCTACCCCATGCAGATCTCCAGCACCTAGGGCTGGAGCACGCTTCTTGGGAGCCATCCCCAACACTCCTGTGTGCTCATCCTGCACTGCCACCTCCTGACTGCCTTCTTCACGGTCACGTCATCTGCTTGGCGATGTTTTCCCCATCTGCTTGTTTCTGGAAGAAACACCTTCTTCAGCCTTTCCAGGTGAGTACAGTCTCACAGCACCAGGAGATTCCCAGACAGGATGACTTGAATAAAGTCACGTCCATAGTTCAGGGAACACCAGTGCCAGAAACGCAGCCCGGATCTTCCATATCTCTCCCAGACCTCCGGAAAACCCTTTCCCCTCCAGCACTGAGCAATATCCTTCTACCTCACTGCACCAGGGCAGGGTGGTGCAAAGCACCCAGGGCATCCCCGGGTGTGACACACCGCTTGTTTTGCCCCAAAAGTGTTGCTGGAAAACATGAGGTGGGTTGTCACTTGCCTTCCTCGCAGAGAAAAGGAGCCCCAGGCCGGGCGCTGAGCCAGCCGCTGGCGCACGAGCTGGAGGAAACGTGCGTCTTGCTGGCTTTTTGCCCCTCGGATATGGGGACACACACACCCACCGCTTTCTGCCCCGGCTCCTGCTGCATCAGCCAGTCCCTGGGCGAGCACAGGAAGGAGTGGGCAGCCCCTCGGTGGGTTGGGGTTTTACACAGCCCAAGGGGGAGTCCCCCCGGGTGCTCCTCGCTGCTGCTGTGGGAGCCCCAGCCAGACACAGCTGCCCAGGATGGTTTTTCCCCCCTCAGACCCCGGGCTGTCATAAGGAGAGGAGTGGGAAGAGAGGGGGTGTCCCCACTGAGGTGGTGAGAACTGGCCCCTCTCTGAGGGAGGGGGACAGAGAGCTGTTACTGACCCCACAGACATGGGGTGCTCCTGCACGGTGAGCCCATGGGGCTGGGATGCTTGAGGTTGTTCCCAGGCTGTGCTGGGCTACATGGGGACACGGGGAACATGGGACATGGGGAAACGTGTTCTTGCATCCACTGGGATTGCTCCTACTCAGGGGGCTCAGCTCCTATCTCATGTCCCATCCCCTACAAGTCCCACCTGCCCTGGGCTGAGGATTCATGTCTGGGACCCCAAAACCCCCATCCCCACCACCTCCCTCTGTTGCCCAGACACCTAGGCCCGTCACATGGATGCTTCTGCACACACTGGGACTGTCACTAAAGAGGTCACTGTCCCCACTGCACTCCTGCTGCCCCTCAGCATGATTTACGGGACGTTTCCCCACCTTGCTCATGTGGAGGACACCAGGACCACGCAGGGCGTTCCTCCTCGTCTTCCTGCTTGTACGAGCCAAGGGAAAACCGTGTGCAAGCACATGTACATGAGCACGTGCGTGTGCATTTGGGGGGGCGTGGGGGATTTCCTGGGCTTTCAAAAAGAGGTATTGAAAAATTTTTCATTTAAAATGGAAGAAATTTGGGAAAAAAAACCCAAAACCCCAATTTCAGTGCATCTTCTCTGGGGTGTCCTGCAGGACCCTGAGAGGAGAACAGCGAGGAGCAGCTGATGGGAAGGGGACTCCCAGGCATCACCCCAACCCTCTTCCTCCCATGTGGCTTGAAGCCAGGCTGTGTGGCTAAATCATCGGTGCTTGGGGTGCAGGCACTCGTGCGACAGGGATACACCCCACATACGTACATCCATAAGTTCATCCCTAGCTATTCCGGGGATATACTGCAGGCTCCCAGTGCTGGGGGGCGCAGGGCAGCCTCTCCTGCTTCATAACAATAGGTCATCTGCATCCTGAAGACAATTTTTCCACTAAATCACCATTTCCTCAAGCTCTGGCAGGTACAAAAGAGAACTGCCGGCTCCCGGGGGGCTCCAGCCCCAGGTACAAGCCCAGACTGACCCACAGGGAAAATAAAGGCTCCTACAGCCCGGGCAGCTGCAGGGTGCTGGCCTGCAAGCCACTCTCCTCCTTCTCCTCTGCGGTGAGAGGGAAGGTGGGACCAGGCAGAGACCGCACCTAAATTCCCTTCCTCTGCAACCCTCCCTTTCCTCACCTCGCTCCCGGACACCAGCAGGACACGGAGCCAGCTGGGTCCCGTAGCAGAGCTTACCGCTGTGCTTGCCCTCCCTTTCCTTTTGTTTTTTCCTCTTCTGCCACTGCCACTCCAGAGGAAGAGAGGGAGAGTCTATCCCTTGCGTGCTCCTCTTCGCACTAACCCGCTCGAGCAATTCCTGTCCTGATGTCTTGGAGAAACTCCCCAGCACTCTGACTGAGCCTGTGGGTGCTGCCTTTAAATCACCGTCTCCTGTGGATTACAACAGCTGCATGAGAAGATAACGGCTTTTCTCTCCTCTTTCCTGCCTCATTCCTTCCTTTTCACTTTTCCTCCTGAATCTAGAACGGTTCCCAGCCGGCAGGCATGATGCTGGTGGGAACCCTGCATGGCCTCCTGCTCCTCTGCCTGGTTGAGGAGGGCATGAGCAAAGTCAGAAGATACTACATTGGCGCCGTGGAGACCTCCTGGGACTACATGCACAGCGACCTGCTCCCCGTGCTGCAAGTGCCCGCAAGGTAAAGCTCTTTCTATGGCAATGCCAGCACGCTGCTGTGGGTGTTCCGCCACCCTGGAGCTGCGGGTACAGCTGGGAAGGGTGTTCCCAAGGGATGGGGAGTCACTACGTGCAACCCCTGATAATGCACAGTTGGAATAAGTCCGCAGAGGGAGATGCAGGCTGCTCTGCGCCGCCTTGTCTTAACGCTGCTTGCCTGTGAGCCTTTAAGGTCTGTGGCCGGAGCCAAGAGCTAGTTCTCCAGCCTGTGCTTTCTCTTCTGCTCTGCATCTCGGGAGCTTTGGGGAGATGCAAGGGGAGATAGGGTCCTGTGCCTCCCTGCCTGGGGGCTGCAGGGCAGGTTGGCTGTGCCCCCCCCCGATGTTATTCAGAGCAGCAAAGGCTCCTCACTGTGCCCACCCCTGGTAAAACCCAGCTTTAGTTATTTATATCTTAGTGCATGTTACAGTGCTGGGGCTGAACTTTTGCATTTAGGGAAGGAAAATAATTTTTAGTGTTTGAGCAAAAACCGGCGACACTGTGACAGGAGGGAGGAAGGCACGGTGTTTTTGCCTGAATACTTGGGAGTAGGAAGGAAAAGTGGCAGTTACATTGCTGAGGCACCAGGATGGAGTTGTCTGGAGACACAGCTGGCTCGGACACGCATGGCTGTGTGTCCTCGGCACGGGGAGAGGAGCTGCGTGGCTACTTCCCCTGAGAATCAAGACGTACGCCTTCCCTCTGCCCCACTGCCGCATCCCTTTCCCCCAGCTCCGTGCTGGGGCAATGTCAGCCCACGGCTCCACCCCACACTGGTTGGAGTGTGGAGCTGGGTTCAGGCACTGCAAACCAGGCTGGGGGATGACCAGGTCAGCCTGACTAGCAGCTGTAGTCACCACATCAGTTATGTTGGTTTTATCTCCCTTTGGTTATGTTGGTAGGAAAATTACATCTAGAACCCCTGTTTTACCAGTGTGTGTCCCCCCCCAGCCCTGCTTTACTAACATTGCACTCGGATCCATTAGGCTCGGGGATGGGGCGAGGTCACTCACGCTGTCCATTCAACCCTGTTGCTTTCCATCTCAGCACAGGTTTCAATGACGTGCTCGCGTTTCTGACCCAGGAGTGACTGAGGGACCTGGCTCTGCCCCAGGGATGAGTGAGGCATCGGTGGGTCACTTGTCCTTCTCTAAAACAGGGAAAGATAACTGGCTTTCTCTGAGCCCGTGGCAGGGCACGCCTAGGCAGCACGACTCTTCCCATCTGGATGACGGTGCCTTTTCCCTGGCCCTACAGCCTCAGCTGGTTTCCCCCCATGTGGGGAGGGCTCAGGGAAACAGCCAAGCCGAGGACAAGGGGTGGGCAGGAGCGAGCCAGGAGAGCGTGGCAAGAGCGGAGCTGCCGCCAGAGCTGGGGTGCCGCTGAGCTGTGCATGGGGTGTCTTCTGCTCCACCCGCGTGGTACCAGCATCTCATGGCAGTCCCCAGGGGTGAACCTCCAGGCAGGACCTCCAAAACCCCTGTTTGTATCCAGTGGTTTCTCTGGCACGTTTGTGGAAAGCTCTGTCAAATGAATGGGCTACAGCACACCAGGCCAGAGATGCTTACGCTTCCCCCATGATTTCACTTTCTCTTCCTCCCAAACCCAACCATACCGGCAGTCTCGGAGCTGGGACCAGCACATCCTGCGACGGCTCCAGGGATCTCAGCTCCACGTCGGAGCTGGCAGCCACAGAGCAGCAGCCCGCGTTGGGAGTGCGTCGGCAGCGCAGGGTGTTTACCTTGGCCTTCTCCCAGCTCTGAGAGATGAGCAGATAGTGCAGCTAACAATGCTGATTGAAGGCGCCAGGAACTTACCTCCCTGCGTCGGCTTCAGCCCCCCCAGGGTAGCAAGTCCACGGGGACCCCAAGTGCAGAGGACTGGCCAGAAGCACTTGGATCAGGCGTTCCTGCGCTGAACTCTGCCTCCTCGTCCCCTGCAAAGGCTGTCAGGCTCTGCCGTGCCAGCAGGGACCTGGCACTGAGCCCTGGTGTCACCAAGTCTCCTCCCAGCCTTGTCCCCATATGCCAGCAAAATCCCCCTGGTTCCAGAGGATTTCTGCCTGGTTTACCACAGCATTAGCAGGACCAGACCCTCATAAATCAGAGATGTATTTTCAAAGCTGGGCTTTCTGTAATTTAGAGGTGAAGGCACAGCTTCCCAACAGTGGACAGCCCAGTGCCAGTGGCCCCATGGCACTGCCATCTCCCAGCGTGGGATCACCTGGAGAGAAACCTTGGTCCAGACCCTACTGCCATGGATCCAGGGATGATGATGGCTCCTGAGCAAAGGCAGCTGAATGCAGAGGCTTCGCTTACTGGGGCCGTGTGTGCTGGGGGCTTCCTGGCAGCCCCAGCATGGGGTTATAGATGTGATGGGAAAGGCAGGAGCTGGGCACAGGTGGGCTTTTCGTGCGTGCTCCTGCTCTGCCTCCAGGGAGGGTGAATCCCGCTCTCCCCACAGCATCCTCCAGCTGCAGGTGGCTTCCAGCCGGCAGCGTGGGGGTGAGTGTGCATCACCCTTTCCTAAATTTGAGTCACTCTGGCCCCTTCCTCTTCCTCCTGAGGAAGAGTTGCAAAGGGAACCGCTGCTTGAATGAAAGCTTAGTCAGAGAGGGAGAGCAATCCTCCCTCTTCTTCAGAGGGAGTAAAATACCACCTGGCTTTTGCTCCAAACAAAACAAGGCTGGAAGTGGTCTCTGGTTACTGGAAATGGACTCAGTCCTGGGGCTGATAAGCCAGCCTCTAAAATCCCTGGAGAAATTCATGGCTTTGTTATCCTGATAAACGTGCTGGATTCCTTCTGGAAAATGAATTTGTTAAGCTGCTTACAGATAGAAAGTGGCCAGTGGAGATAAGTGGGGTGTGAAATATGTTCAAGGCTCCTTTATTTTCCTACTGCAAGGAGCAGTTTTTAGGGGCTGGCTGTAAATCCCAGTTTGGTCAGAAAATAAACAAATATGGGGACATTGCTAGGACCACAGCAAGCTGCTGCTGCCTGCCACGCAGCCCGACATGGGGGGTACCTGGGGAGGAGCCTTGAGGTTAGATGTGATGTGATGTGATGTGATGTGATGTGATGTGATGTGATGTGATGTGATCTGCCACACTGGAAGAGGATGGAGATGGGGTGGGGTGCAGGGCAGAGGCCACCATGGCACTTCTATCACAGCACCCCCGGTGCCCGGGGTTCTGCTGGTGGGAGAGCACGAAGCCAGGCAAGGTGCGAGGCAGGAGGCTGGCAGCTGTGCCTGCTCCTGGCTGCAGCTGGGCATGGCACTGTGCCTCCTGCCCTTGTGTTTCTTCCATCATGACTAACACCGTGACATTAATCACTGCCACGTTGTCATCCGTGAGCTGAGCAAAATGCTTCTAAACACACCTGGGGGTTGTCAGGAAACTCAAAGGACACAACAGGGTGAGCAATCCCTGGGGCTGGCACGGCACGGGCAAGCTGGCAGGGAGGGGAGGAAGAGGACGCCTGCTGCCCATTTGTGGATGGGGCCGCATGATCAGCCTTGGATTTTCCTTCCTCCTGCAGCACATCAGGGCACCCGGGCCCGCGGCCTCCCATGCCTGGTGTCCTTCCCCAGTACAGGAAAGCCGTGTTTGTGGAGTACCCCGATGCCTCGTTCACGCAGCCCAAGCCCAAGCCAGCATGGATGGGTAAGAAGCACCCGCTGTGCGGTGAGCCCTAGCTCTCCTTGACAGCAGCCAAACTCACCCTGGGTTGGGTGCTGGCAGCTCCTTGGCCAGGAATGGGAAAGCACCTGGGTAGCATCCCAGTACGGCAGAGCTGCTGGGGATGCAGGGAGCCTTGCTGGTGCCAGAGCAGTGGATGCTGCCGTGCTGCATGAGGGACAACTGCTAATTGTGCAGGTGGAAAGTCCAGACCCTTTGGGATCCATTGCTGGGTGTGAGCTGCCTGACCCAGCTGTCTGACTGTGTTGTCTTCAGGTCTCCTGGGCCCCACCATCCGAGCAGAAGTCTATGACACGGTGGTCATCACGTTTAAGAACCTGGCCTCCCGCCCGTACAACCTCCACGCCGTCGGGGTGTCCTACTGGAAGGTGTCGGAGGGTGAGTTGGACAATAGCCAGGTGCTGCCAACCCTTGTGCAGCACATCCTGCCCTGCTGCCTGCCAGGAGGGAGCACATCCCTCCCGATCCTGTTATTCCTGTCCCTCTGTGAGGACTGTCTTCAAGGCCAGGCTGGATGAGGCTTTGAGCAACCTGGTCTAGTGGAAGGTGTCCCTGCCCATGGCAGGGGGTTTGGAACTGGATGGTCTTTAAGGTCCCTTCCAACCCAAACCATTCTGTGACTCTGTGATTCTATGACAGACGGTCACTATTCTGGCTTTAGGTGCAGGGTATGAGGATGAGACCAGCCAGCCAGAGAAAGAGGGTGACAGGGTGGATCCAGGGAAGACACACACGTACATCTGGGAAATCCAGCAAAACCAGGGCCCGACGGATGGCGACTCACCATGCCTGACCCACTCCTACTCCTCCAACACCGACAGCGTAAAGGACATCAACTCGGGTTTGATCGGAGCCCTGCTCGTGTGCCGACCTGGTAAGGACAGCACAGGATGGGGACAGGTCGCATGCAACCATGAATTGAAAAGCAGAAAAATCAAAGACGCCTTCCAGAGACTGAACGTGGCAGTGGGGTCAGTAAGCTGTGGTCAGCAACAGCACTTTTGGGGTTTGGCCCTTTCCTCAATGAGTCCCTTCCCAGTGCAGGAGCCAAACACACTTTGGATTTCCCTGCTGGAGAGAAATTGGTTGCTTCTTTCCTTTGCAAGATTTCAGACCACAGATGAAATCTTCTACCTTCTCTCTGAACCTTACCCCTCCATAAGGTGAATTGCTATGGAGGCATAAATGTTTGTTTTTCCTTCAGAGCGTCACCAAGCTGTGATCGTTCAGTGTCAGGCAGGGTGCTTTGTCGAACGGGTTTGGCAGAAGGACTAGAGGGAAGTTTGTATCAGCAAGAGTTAAGGATCAGGCAGGAGAGACCAGGACATCCGGGTCGCTGCCTGGTCCACACTACCAGTGCCTGCTCTCCTTCCTTGGGTAAACGCGGAGGTGGTGAAATCCTGACTGTTAACGCTTGCTGGGTGCAAGGCACCAAGAAGTGTACGTGGGGTGGGATTGGCCACCCCTGGTTGAGCCATCTCCTGGAGGCAGTTGTCCAGACCCCTCTGTAGTCACTGGAGAGGAATGGTGAGGAGTCACCTCCTCCCAGGGCATTGTCTGCAGGCTCCAGTGACTCACCAGGAGCAGTGTCTCTGCTGACAGAGCTAAGTCTAGACGAGCACAGACAATGGTGCTGATGAGTGGGATAGGTAAAATGGGCTCTTCCAGGTGACTAAGTGGATCCTGAAAGCCTGCGAGTGGAAAGCAGCACAAACTGACCTTTTGATGCCTTCTGGGGGCAGCTGCCTCTCAACCACGAACTTTTGGGGACTGCAAGGCTGGAAACAGGGCTGTGAGCAATCCACAGCCTGGCCTTGATTTACCAGTTCTTAGAGGGAGGGCACAAAGGGAATTCTGGGGGGAGACAGGCATGGTGCTTGCTGACCTTTAAAGAGATCCATCCTGTGGCATCTTGCAGGTACCTTGGTGAGTGATGTGATCGAGGACACACAGCAAGAGTTCGTGATGCTCTTTGGGGTGTTTGATGAAGGTAACTACCCTGCTGACTGCTGTCAGGCCCTGAATTCAGCCTGGTCCAGGGTGCATGCTTTGGCCATGGTGTGAGCACAGTTGTTCAGCTCCCACACTGCCTCCCAAGGGTTTGAGTCCTGTACAGACCCCCCCAACCAGTGTGACCCTGGTGCAGTACTGCAACTCCTTCTTCCGTCCACCCCCACAGCTCTCCCATCCCATGCCCTGGCCTTGTTCCCATCACACAGGCAAAAGCTGCGAGGGAGTGATGCCCTGCCACGTGCAGTGGTCACCATCACATTCATGCAGACCCATGGCCAGGTCTGCTGTGGATTTCCAACAGGCACCACGCATCTGACCTCCCTCGATTTTGGATTTCATACTGTTTCACCCCAGTGGGAAGGTTTCCTTTTTCCTTTGAAATGCTCCCCAGTGAAAGCCAACAGCATCCTCTTCTCTCCACAGGGAAAAGCTGGTACTCTGAGCCCGGCACCCCGGCAGCTCCTCAGCCCTTCCCTCACAACAGGACGGAGCTGCACACCATCAACGGCTACATCAATGGCTCACTGCCCGGTGAGTACTGCCGTGCCGGGGACGGGAAAGGGGGACATGGGAGATGCTAGCCACAGGGGTGTAGCCAGGTCTGTAAACTCAAGCTGGGTTGTCAAAGGTTGTGAGCAAGGACATCAGGAGGAGTTTCCAGGTGTTGGATCCGTTAGGTTGTGTTCACCTCAGAGGGATTACCACATCTCAACTCCTGGATCTGCCTTGCCCATTTACAGTGGGGTAGGATCTGTTCCTGGCTGGCTGTGTTGCCAGGTGCAGCTGACATCCTCGGAGGTCTCTAGGAATAGTGCTGGTAGCAAAGAGTTTCACCTCTTTTAGCCCTGTGAACAAGGCTGGAGGTAGCGCTGAGGGGAAAATTCAGCTTTCACTAGCCTGGCTCTGACAATACACCTCGTAGAATTTGGGGAGTAGACTAATAGAATCACTTAGGTTGCAAAAGACCCTTAAGATCATCGAGCCTCACTGTAAACTTAACACTGCCAAGCCCACCCCTAAACTATTTTTCTAAGTGCCACATCTACACATCTTAAATATGTGTATTTAAGGGATGGTGACTCAACCACTCCCCTGGGCAGCCTGTTCCAGTGTTTGATAACTCTTTCAGTGAAGAAATTTTTCCTGATAACCAACCTAACACCCCCACCCCGGCACGACTTGAGGCTGTTTCCTCTTGTCTTACCACTTGTCACTTGGAAGAAGAGACCAACACCCACCTCTCTGCACCCTCTTTTCAGATAGTTGTAGGGAGTCATAAGGTCTCCCCTGAGCCTCCTCCAGAAAAGGAAAAGGCCTAGCGGTCTCAGTGAAGACAAAAGTTGGCATTTTCTTTCGGAAGAAGGTCTAGAGCTGTCTGAGAGTGAAGAATCTCCAAGGCAAACTGGGAAACACTGTCAGGAGAGTCGTTACCACTCAGAACCTTGGCAAACAGCATGCTGAAACCACCCACCCTCCTGGGTCTGGTCATTCTCCAATAAAAGGCACAAGCAAAACTCCACTGAATTCCCTGTCCTTGTGGATCCATGAAGCTTAAGAGCTGAGCAGACCTCATGGTCAGCTGCTGTGTCTGCACAGTGGGTTGCTCCTTGAGAAGATATCCACCTCTGCCAGGTGACCCCCCATCTGGCTGCAGGTCCTGGCCTGAGAGGCGGCGATGGGGAGCGGGGAGCCTATGGATGGAGCCTCCGCCCTGTCTACTCCCGAGCTCTTGGGATCTGTTCCAGCCACCTTCGCACTCAGTGCTCAAAACAAGTGCTTGACTCTCTATTTGACTTTGTTTGGATTCAGCTTCCAGGAACTTGTTCTTGTTATTCACTTCCCCACTAGATTACAGAGCGCCTCAGCACACAGATTTCTTCCCAGGAAAATATTTTTACAATGCAGTCAAGTCCTCTCCCATTTCCTAAGCACACTGAGCTCTTTGAGTGTCTCCAAGGAAGGAATTTTCTCAAGCCTTCAAATAATCCTGGTGACCTCTCTTTGCCCCTTTTTGGAGTATTTCAACTACTGCTGAGGACGTGCTGGTTTAGTATCAGGTTTGCCAGTGTTGTGGTCAGACAAATGATTCCCCTTTCCAGTTCCCACTTCCCATATTATAGAGTCAAGGAGCACATCTCCCTCTTTTGCCACTGCATCCCACTGTGGGCTCCAATCTGCACGCTTTCCAGATCCCTTGCTAATGTCCCCCGCTGTAAATCTGGTCCTCTCTCAGGGTGTTGATGTGGCCTGCACCTCTGTTTTGCTCAGACAAGTCCACGTTCACATGCAAGTTCTCCAGCTTGAAGCCACCACCTCATGGGGCAGGGGACTCTACTTGGCACGTGTCAGGCTGAGTCCATGACACCAAGAGTGGGGACAAGGGATGGATGCAGTGCTGACTCCTGGGTGCTTTCCTTCTCCCCTGGCAGGTCTCACACTGTGCCTCAAGAAGCAGGTCCGTTGGCATGTGATCGGGTTGGGCACTGGACCAGAAGTCCACTCCATCTTCTTTGAAGCCCACACATTCCTGGTGAGAAGCCACCGTCTCAGCAGCCTAGAAATCTCCCCTGCCACGTACCTCACAGCCCACACCATACCAGGAACAGCTGGCTGGTTTCGGATGTTCTGCCAGATACTGTCCCACGAGCAAGGTAACCTTATTCTGCAAGAGCTTGGGGGAAAAAAAGTTCTAGGGATGGCCTGGGCTCAGTGTTCTCTGCAGTGCTGCAGCTCCAAGGCCCCTCCTGCTCCTGGTGTAATCTGTCCCGTGACCAGGATGGCATAGGTTGACCCATGTGATGGCCCATTGGTGGGACAGCAGTGGAGAGGACATCTCCCAAGCAGAGCCTGGGGGAGTGCCCGCGTGGTGGCACGTCTGAGTGACCCTTTCTGCCTGGCTTGTCTGAACCCAGCTGGCATGGAGGCCATTGTGAAGGTGGAGGAGTGTCTGGAGGAGCGCCTGCAGAAAATGGGGAAGCTGTCAGATGAGTCAGAGGACATGGATTACCCTGAAGAAGATGAGGAAACTTATCATGTGATCCAAGTGCGCTCTTTTGCCAAAGATAAGCCTGTTACCTGGACTCACTACATCGCGGCTGAGGAAATGGACTGGGACTATGCTCCCATGAAGCCAGAGTCTCTGGACAGGTGAGAGCAGGCATGTGTGCCCATGAAGCTGCTCCTCAAGGCAACCCTGACAGCTGCTCCCCTTGTCCCCAGAAATTTATTTTCCTTCCACCCAACCTGGACACTATTGTTCTTCCTTATTAACCCTAACAGTATGGACGCAGGGCAATGATGGCCTTGCGGAGACCATGGGAAAGCAGGACCTGGCTTTGCTCTAACAAATGCCCGCAGGGGCATTTGTTTCTGGGGCATTTATCTCTCTGTTGCCCAGGTCTCTGGGGTCAGCCCCTTCGGAGCAGGTGGCAACGCCTGGTGACCCTTCCCACCCTCCAGCCAGGAGGCCCTGCACAGCCAGGACACGTGCCTGCAGCCCCAGAGTTTGGGTCTCTGCCCTGTCTGGAAGGACCTGCTCTAGACGGCAGATCAATTGGCCCCTGCTGCAGCCCCACTTCTTAGAGGGAGAGATGATGCAAGTGCAATATCACAAGGCCCTTAGTCAGCACTGCATGGTGATGACACTTGTCACCAGTCCCAACGTCACTCTGCTGACACAGGCTGTGTGGGCTGAGGTCAGTAGTGGGGTCACTGGGTTCTGCCAGATGGGGATGCCAGCCCGCTGGAACAAGGCATGCAGGGCAGAAATCCCCACCTGCAGCCCCTCGCAGGGTAAGCCAGAGGAGGTGTGCTCTTCATCTTAGGGCTGGCCTTACTCCTGGGAAGGAGCTGGGATGATGAAGAAATGGCAGCTGGTCTGTTGCCTTGTGTATGCTGGGGGGGTCCCCTGACACAGGACAACCTGCTGTGCTCTCACAGTCACCACCTCCCTCCAAGACAGGGCAGTGTCAGCCCAAGGCTGCTGCTGTGCAACCTGGTTGAATCTTTGTCCATTAAAGAAGCATTGAATCACTTGAAAAATTATTCCCCGAGAAGCGTATTGTGAGCGCAGGGATGGGTGTCCCCACTGTGCCCTGGTAGTCCCCGGGCAGCTGTGTAGGTCTTTGGACAATGGAAGGTCTTGCTCTGGCTATGACAGCATCCCACATGTGGCTATTTGCCAGCAGAAACCTCACGAGCCTGTACCTGGAGGCTGGCCCGCAGCGGATTGGTTCCAAGTATAAGAAAGTGATGTTTGTGGAGTACGAGGATGCAACCTTCAAGAAGCGCAAGGTGTCAGATCAACCGGACAAGGGAATTCTGGGACCTGTCATTAAGGGGGAGGTTGGAGATCAGTTTAAGGTAAGAGAGAGGTTGATTTCCAGAGACTGGAAGGGGAAATTTCAAAGCTTGATGCCTCCTAATAGCTCTTGGTTTGTGACTAAGGTCTGACATAAGTCCTTGAGGTCCTCTATCACGTTTGGTAATGTCCAAAGTTCACCAGAAAGACAAATGTTACTGAAAGCTGAAGCTAAATGCTCGCAGTGAGATCAGCAGAGATGCGCAGGATATAGCCCAGTCCTCTTGATTTGACTTCATTGCAAGCATCTTACTAACCGTGTGAATTAATCCATGACACATAGCACCCAGCAGCTTCCTCTGAGGCAGGAGCATCCTCTCAGCCACCACTCTTCCCCACCTATCTGCTCTTACTATACAGTACTGGGGACTGGCACTTGTGTCTCCACAAGTGCCTCTACTGACCGCTTGACTTGCTTGGTGCTGGGAGGAATGGGATGGTTTCCAGGAGTTTCACATTTCTGCTCCCTGCCTGGCGTTCCCTGTGCAGTTGTGGGCATGGAGCTGAAGGTAACACCTGTGGCAAAGCCCCGACAGAGCTATTTAGGGAAATAAATGAAGGGCTTCATGCAGTGAAGTGGGGAGCACTTTGAAGCCATTGACTGTTGTGCATACTTTGGTCCTCTGAGACCTCCTGGGCTGACAGATCTCTTCTGTCTCACATGCAAAGTGAGGCTAAAGACAGCAACTTACCCTTTAATAAATCTGATATTTTCATGCCCTCCCTAAAATGGGCACCTCCTGGAAAGGTGGACAGAGTAGACTGTTAGAAATAAACAGTCGTTTCTTCTATTCTGACACTTACTTTGTGGTCCCAGACATGTCCGGGTTCCTCCCCGTTGGACACTTTTGGGTAGGTGATCCCAGAGTTTCCCTCCCTGCAAGGATGCGGAGGGCAGCTCTGAGGGCTTACAATGTTCAGAAAGAATTAAATGTTCCCGCTGGCTGTCCTCATTTCAGATCATGTTCAAGAACCTGGCAAGCCGACCGTACAACATCTACCCTCACGGCCTCACCAGTGTAAGGCCATACCATGCCACGAGGCTCTCTCAAGGTAAGGCCAGCCATGAGAACATGGGACATCACTTGGCCGCTGCCATTTTTCTGGGCCAGGACAGCTTCCTGCAGCCCGTGGTAAGATTGGTTGTCCAACCCATCCATCCACGCGCCTGAGCCCCGCAATCCCGCGCATGATGACGATGATTCTTGGTTCAGGTCCTCCTTGGTGCCATGTAACCCTGTCTTTAAGGAAGGCTTGGATGATGGCTGGAAGAAGAGACATTGTCAACCAGGGAGCTAGGACCATGTTGCTTGGTCCGTCCTGGAGACCTCCGCTTTCTGATGAGGCAGGAACTACCTTGGTGATTCTGCCTGTTTATCTAGTTTGCTTACAGTCCTCATTCCCTGGGCTCCCCCCTTCCCTGCTTTAATGTGAGGGGAGTCATTATGATTCAGACTCTCCCTCTCACAGCTTCACAGTTTTCTCTCTGGGGCTGTTGAGTTACCAAGTCCTTTTCCCAGAACTGCTTTCATGCCCTGCCAGCATGCTCCCAGGATCACAACTTGTGCAAGGCCATCCCACAGGGGCAAAGCCGTGCCCCATCCCTCTCCCCTCTTCCTCTATGCCCTTTCGGGTGCATCACAATGACAGGATCAATTGCAGAGGCTGGAGAAAAAGTTCCTCTGCTGCAGCAGATGTGGCAGAACCAGGATGGCAGATGCTAAGGAGTTCAGCGAACTAGGTCAGCTTTGTGACCCGTTACTAGCTAAATTAAGGTTTTCCTTCAGGAGAGTCAAAAGGGCAAAGTGGCCCTTTGGCTGGCAGGAGCCAAGCCACACAAGGGAGCTGGGAGCCCCGTCCCTGCCCTTCTGTCAACATCCCCCAGCCAGACTTGGCTCACCAGCTTTGCCAGCGATTCAGCTCTGTGAAAGCGGGGCAGTCGCGGTCCTGGCGCCACAGGGATGATGCTCTTTAGGGGAGTATAAATAAAATGAGCTATTCCTACCCTGACTGACACACGAGCTTTGCAAACCCGGCTCTTATAGAGGCTCAGCTGGGGCCTTGGAGCAGAGAAAGGTCCTTTCCTAAGGCTACATCAGTGCAAGATCCTGTTGAATGCTCAGAGGATTTGTTTGCATTTGAGTTTTCCTTGTCCCTTCCAGATCTCCTCATTGCCTTTCTTGTGGTCTCGCTGTATTTGCTTAAACATCTATCTTAGCACTTTGTTTTTCACTTATTTCAGCCCTGCCCAGCTCTGTGCCTTCATCTGCAAACTCCTCTAGGCAGCCCAGAGCCCAGACAAAGCTGAGACTGGACAAATTTTCCAGTTTAGAGGAGTTTTAAGGGCTTTCAAAATTAGGCGTATGCCACTCCATCCTCACCTGGGCCCAGGGGCTCCTTTTATCCAGATCAACTTTCCACGCACGCACAAGTAGCCAGTATGCCATCCCAGAGCAGGCTTGGGTTTGGGTGGTTTTCTATGCAACTTGTGTGGTCAGGAAACCTCCTTTCTGAGCTCTTTTGGAAAACGGGATCACCCCTTGCAGGAGCAGCCCAGACTTAACTGACCTGCCCTTGGGCTGTGTGTTGCCAGATAAGGATGTGAAGAACATTGCTGTCGCCCCTGGCCAGTCGTTCACCTACAGCTGGAGGATCACCACAGAGGATGGGCCGACACAGGCGGATCCTCGCTGCCTCACCCGTTTCTACTACAGCTCCATCGACCCCGTCCGAGACACGGCCTCAGGCCTGATTGGGCCCCTCCTGATCTGCTTTAAGAAGTCCATGGATCAGAGGGGAAATCAGGTGGGTCCTTCCTTTGTCACTTCCACTGCCAGTCTGAAAAGCTGGAATAACTGCGGTGGGTGAAATACTGGGGTAAAAGCAAATTTGTCAGTCCTGTTCTCTTCAGCCCTACCATCAGTCCAATGCCCCTGCCTTCCCCATCCTCCCCGGTGTGCTCCCTTCTCTCCAAACCTGGATCCTAATGCCTGTGAAATAGCAGCAAACTGTTCCCCATGCACCCAGGCTACAGTCTGGCAGCTACGCTGAGCCCCAGGGTTGCTCTCATCAGATCAGGGATAAACGCTTCCCTCTCTGCCTTCCAGATAATGTCAGACAAGACGAGGTTGGTGCTGTTTTCGGTCTTTGATGAGAACCGCAGCTGGTATCTGGAGGAGAACATCAGACGGTTCTGCACTGACGCAGCCCATGTGGACCCCCAGGACCCCCAGTTTTATGCCTCCAACGTGATGCACAGTGAGTGCTCAGCCAGGGGCTCCCTGTAAAGCCCCAGCAGACACAGACTCATCCCTGCCCCAGGGAACATGCAGCAGCTCGGCAGCTTTTCCTGATGAGATGTTTCCCCCCTGCTCTCTTCCAGCTATTAACGGCTTTGTGTTTGACAACCTCCAACCAAAACTCTGCCTGAATGACGTTGTGTACTGGTATGTCCTGAGTGTTGGGGCCCAAACAGATTTCCTCTCCATCTTCTTCTCTGGAAACACATTCAAGCGCAACATGGTCTTTGAGGATGTGCTCACCCTTTTCCCGTTTTCTGGAGAAACGGTCTTCATGAGTTTGGAAAAGCCGGGTGAGTAACACGGGCTGTTCTACAAACCACGGGCTTGGCATCACAGCCGAGATAAGTGAGCACCTCCAGGCAGGTCTCTGGTACCCGACTGCGTTTTGGCAGCCCTGAGAGCAAAGGGTTGTACAACCTGCTGAAACAGCAAAGTGAGAGGCAATGATTAAATTCTTCCGAAGCTTAAATAACAGAAATTAAATTACTGTATTTTACTTCGTTATTAGGGTGTGTTAAGGTCACACGTGCTGCCAAGTCGCAGTAACGTGAGCCCCGTGGACCTTGCATCTGCACCCTTGGCTCCAAGCTCGGAGGTCGAGGGGAGCGGCAGCGCTGTCCCTGCCATAGGTTCAGCCGCTGGTCACGACACCCCGTTTATCTCCACACCTTTGCAAGGACGGAAGTCGCAGCCATGGAGAAATCCTAGGATTTCCTTCAGAGCTCAGTTTTGTTTTCCCCCACTCAACATTTTTCCCTTAGCCTTTGCAAAAGCAGGGCTGTAAACCATTTCCTCACTCTCAGAGGAAGCAGCGAATTTACCATGCGATTGCAAACCCTGATATGTCGGTCATGAGCGCTGCGCCCTGAGCCAAGCTGGCAGGGTTTCGAGGTACGCCAGGAAGCTTTCTAAAAACCCAGCCAAACGTTGCATCCCTTTGAGCTCTGATTTTTGCCTGCCGCTCTGAAGCAGGCGAGCGGCTCGGCCAGCAGCAGATGACAGCTCTCTCCAGTGTCAGAGCCTGGTTATTACACACCTCCCCACCCATTGCTGGTGCTCGCTGCGAGGAGCCAACGCGTTGGCCGGGATATGAGCAAGAGGCGGCCTTTTCATTTCTTTCTCCTTGAGTGGGAGAGATGTGACGACTGTGTCTGGGAGAGAGGTGTATTTGACAGCACCAGCATGTCTTTGGGGGTGGATGATGGTGATTACGCTGCTGCTGGCAATCATCCTGGAGGCTTTGTGGGCTCTCAAGCTCTTGCCGGGCCTCGCGGGTGTGTGTAGCTCGCTAAGCTCTGGCAGGAAGCACCGGCCCTGCTGACGGTGCTTGTCAGGACTGGCTCTGGTGTTGCCATCAACCCTGATGTCTTGTGAGTCCAGCTGTGAGATACCCTAGGGGTTATGAAAACATGAAATCACTACCATGAACCAGAGGCTGTCTGAAAATATAGATTGCACGAGCAAAGGAGCAGCATGGGGATGGCAGCTCGTTTTCTTTCCCACTGCGGTGGGCTGATGGTGTGCTCTTGTCCTCTCTTGAGACAGGCATCTGGACGCTGGGGTGCCTGAATCCTAATTTCAGAGACCGAGGGATGCATGCCAAATTCACAGTCTTGCAGTGCCAGCAGGAGCAATACCCTGATGGGGAAGATTATGTGGATTTCGACGAGGAGGAGGGAGACTTTGACTTCCAACCCAGGGGCTTCTCTAAAAGAAAGAGATGGCGCAGGCCATGTGTGAATGAGCAACTGAACAATGTCACCTCTTCCAGAAATGAGACAGAGAAGCCAAGACTGTGCTTGACAGAACCCAGCCATGGGGCCATCCTGGGCAATGGTGGCAGGATTTCTGATTCCCCTTCCAACGGCACACCAAGATTTCTAGGAACAATCCCAAATCCACCTGATATTTCCATGTCTTCTCTGCCAGAGACAAACCATGAGCCAGAGTCCTATGAATCCCTCCTGGATGATGAAGAATTGTCAAACATCATCAGGCAGGAGGAAGGGTTTGGAGCTCTCCCACCTGGAGAGCACTTGGCAAATGTCAGTGGAAGGGTCCATGGTACCGTGAGCTCAGAAGAAGGTCGGCAGTGGCTGCACCAGGCCATGCCAGCTTCAGAAGATACTCAAGCAGTAAAGAAGGAGACAAAAATCACAGAGGTTCAGGAGCCAATAAAAATGATGTGGGTCCAGTCTGGTGGTACATTAGAGATCCTGGAAGCAGAGCCTCAAGACGCAACTACTCATGCAACAAACTTGTGGGACTCAATTGCTCATGCGGCTAGCAAAGCTTTTCTTCAAGAGAACGGGAGCTCATTTCACCAGAATGACCTGGAGCACAATCTGGGACTTCAAGACACATCCTCCCAGGGTGCTGAGGACAAGCGGCTAAGAGAGGCTGATAAAATATCCTTGAATCTATATGAGTCAAAGGAGACAATCAATACAAAACCAACTTTAGGTACTGATCAGAACTCTTCCTCCACACTGGACAGTCCTTCAGACAAGAAAGAAGACAACAGTACTTCTCAAGCTGTGGTTCCCAGTCACACCACAGAAAGCAATTATTTAACAAATGAGCTAGATGCTAGGCTGGAAAAAAGACTTCACAAAGTTGTTTCACAAGTCTTTTATGAATCTTCTGAAGGGAAAAATGTTTCTTTGTCAGACTTGGGTCCCAGCAAACCTGTACAAGAACAAATCCTCACGGATGAAAGTAACTCTTTGCCTGCAAAAAGTGGCACAGAACAAGAAGCCACTGAACTTGCCAAAGGCACAAGCCTTCTAGAAAACACCTTTGTACACACCGGTGACCTTGAGCCTTCCAGCTATATAATGACAGAAGAGAGGGATGAATTAATCTTGGGGGAAGTGTTTCAGGACACTACAACCACTAAGGAATTGCCAGAGATGGACAGTCTTGCCTTTTCTAAATCAAGCATCATGGAAAATGGCACACGGCAGTTCCCAAATGCTTTCTTGAACAGCCTTGAGCAGTTTCTGAGGCACAGAACTCCAGCACCAAGCATGAGTGGCCCTGACTGGAGGCCTCGACAAGCCAGGTCACTGGAAAGCAGAGATTTGATGCACAGCCTGGGTCTTCCCACCACCAGTTGGCCTGGCAGCAGAGCGCCCCTCTCTGAGGGTAACAGAGCAGAGCAGGATCTGGCCAGCCAGACCCCTGAGACAGCAGTGAATAAGAAAGCCCCAAAGGCGTGTGGACCTCATTCCCCTTTTTGCAGCGTTCACTTCAAAAAGAGATCCCTGATACCAGGCAATGCTTTGCCTGAGGTGACGGTGGCCCAGCAAAGTCTGGAAGAAAAATCAAACATGGTTGAGGAGAGTTTACAGCTGGGCAGGGATGGTCCACAGGCTCTGCTTGGAGATAGCACTGAGGAGATGCATCCTGGGGGGAGGCCAAGCGCAGATGGGGGTGTACAGAGCGAGGGAGGCCAGCACCATGGACACTCCTTCCCCACGCAGAGAGCACTGGGGAGTGAGGTGGCGATGGCAGCACACAGCTCCGAAGTGCAGGAAGCTGCTTCGGCTGCAGACCTGGCCTCAAACTGGGACCTGGTCTCTCCAGGGGCAGTGGGACATGCTGGGGGCTTGCAAAGCCCAGCTTTGGCTAGCTGGGGAGCTCCTGGGAGTGAGCAAGCTCAGGGGAGAAGCCAGATGGAGGAGGAGACAAACTCTGTGGAGCACCTGAGTCAGTTCAGCCCTCAGCAGCTCACGGCCAATGCCACGAAGGACCATGTGCCTGAGAGCACGTCTGGGCAAAGTCCAGGAGACATCCCTATGAAACCAGCCTCCAAAGAGAACTATTCCCTGTCTCCAAGCAGCCTCACTCCCAACAACTCCACTACCAAAAACCCAGCCAGTCCAGATGGATGGCAGATGCTTGGTGGCGAAGATGTCCTCAGAGAAATCGGGAAGAGACAGGGCCAGGGCCTAGGGGATCCCAAGGAGGATAGGGAAAGCAACAGCACAGCTGGGAAGAGGAACGATGCCCCGGGACATAGGGAGAGGCTGGCTCCAAACAATGGGACCCATTCCAGTCCCTCCAGGCCAAAGGCTGACAAACTGGACTACGACGAGTATGGCGACACAGAGCAGACCATGGAGGATTTTGACATTTATGGGGAAGAGGAGCATGACCCACGCTCCTTCCAGGGGGAGGTGCGGCAATACTTCATTGCAGCAGTGGAGGTGATGTGGGAATATGGGAACCAGAGACCCCAGCACTTCCTAAAAGCCACGTAAGTGTGACTGTCCCTCATGTCTTCCTCCTGCGCGGTGTGGCATGGCTTGATGCGTGAGTTGGCATGTCTTGGCAGGGAGGATCAGAGGTCTGCGACTGTATGACGCAGCTCCCAGCACTTCCCCTCCACCTGGGGAGTTTTGTAACTCCAACAACCTTGAGCTTTCTTGCAAGTGGGTCAGGGATGCTCGGGGTTCTGCATCACCCCTGCCCTGCAGCAGCCTTGCCATGGCCGCCCTCCCTATGGGACGCTATCACCTGACGTGCTTAACTGCCCTCACCCCAGCAGGGACCACTGGAGCGGCAGGAGGAAGCATTTCCAGCAGTACCGCAAGGTGGTTTTCCGAGAGTACATGGACGAATCCTTCACGCAGCCACTGCTAAGGGGAGAGCTGGACGAACACTTGGGCATCCTCGGGCCATACATCAGGGCAGAAGTTGAAGATGTCATCATGGTGAATTGAAAGTTCCCATTTCCTATGAAACCTGAAATCCCCCTGTTGCTGGCTGTGGGAGTGCTGAGGTGGGCCTGCAGGTTCTGCAATGCCTGTGGGTTCACCTTCAGGGCTTAGGGGCAGGAGCTGCCCCATTGGCACCCTGCATGTGGATGGCACCAGACTGGGAGGCAGAGCCACTGTTCAGAGGGATCTCAGTGGCTGATGGAATGGGCCAGCAGGAACCTCAGAGCGTTCAAAGGGCTGCAAAGCCCTGGACCTGAGACAGACCCAACCCCTGTAACAGCATAGCCTGAGCAGCTCCTAGGCTCCATGGGGAGCCTTTTGGGTTATAAAAAGGATAATGAGCTAAGTAGGGTTCATTAAAGCTTCTTCGGGTGCTCTTTGTGAGGGCAGGCTTGGAATTCCCTCACCACCAAGAGTCCTTCAGCACCCACCCCAGGAAGTGGTAAAAGGCTCTTCCCCAAGCTAGAACCCATATGCCTGGAGAAGCTGGCCAGTTTTCATTGAAATCTTCACCAGAATGAAGCACCTCTGGGCTCCAGAGGCAGTAGTGTGGCTGACACTCTCTGTCCCCTTGAGCAGGGAGAGAATCATAGAATCATAGAATGGTTTGGGTTGGAAGGGACCTTAAAGATCATCTAGTTCCAACCCCCCTGCCGTGGGCAGGGACACCTTCCACGAGACCAGGTTGCTCAAAGCCACATCCAGCCTGGCCTTGAAGACATCCAGGGATGGGGCATCCACAAGGTCTCTGGGCAACCTGTTCCAGTGCCTCACCACCCTCTCTGGGAAGAATTTCTTCCTGATATCTTATCTGTCTAATGAGAGACCCTCACTCTGCTGACATGACACCCTCGGAGCTGTGCTTAGCTTCCTCCCACGCTCCCTTTGCTTTGCCTTCCCCCTGGTGCAGGTTACATTCAAGAACCTGGCCTCACGGCCCTTCTCCTTCCACTCCACACTGCAAGCCTACGAGGAGATGCAGGGCGCAACAGCGGGTGGGGAGGTGGTGCAGCCCGGTGAGCTCCGGAAATACTCCTGGAAAGTCCTGCCCCAGATGGCACCCACCACGCAGGAGTTTGACTGCAAGGCCTGGGCTTACTTCTCCAACGTGGACCTGGTAGGTGGGAGCCTGCTCCATGGGACATCCCAGGAAGGAGAGTCGGGCAGCAGACCTGGGTCCTGGCTTTTCCTACGGTGCTGGGCTAAAAGCAGCCTGTGGCGGTGTAGATTCTCAGGTGTCTAATACAGTGATAAATGCATGCTGGCGCTTTCTCTTCTCTTCCTTTTTCTTAATTGGGTTTTTCTTCATCTTATGAGACTTGTAGGGAACTGGCTTTCCGTAGTCCCCTACCCCTCTGCCCAATCTGGCTGAATTTGGCCTGTGGGTTGTAACGTAAGTGGGATGGGGATTGTCAGGCAGTTGGACAGACGGACACCACTTCTCTTGAAAGCATGTGGAAACACAGCCTTTCTTGACTTGAGGCAGGGTGGGGATCCCCCCATGAACCCAGCATGCCCTTCCCACCCTGCACGTGCCCTGTGCTGTGCACAAGTGGGAACTAGCTCGGGGATGCAGGCAGCGCCGCTGCTTTCCTCGCTGCTGTGCTGCTCCGAGGCAAACCCTTCTTTCCCGGCTCCCTGGCAGGAGAAGGACCTGCACTCGGGTCTCATTGGACCACTGATCATATGCCGCCGTGGGGTGCTGAGCTTCGTTTTCAGGCGGCAGCTGGCTGTGCAGGAGTTCTCCCTGCTCTTCACCATCTTTGACGAGACCAAAAGCTGGTACTTCCTGGAGAACATGGAGAGGAACTGCCGCCCTCCCTGCCGCGTCCAGCAGGACAGCCCTGAGTTTAAGAGAAACCTTTCCTTCCATGGTGAGGAACCTTGCCCTTGTTCTTTCCATCCTACAATCTATACTGGGATGGAAAAACTCTGGAGCCTTGAGCCGCTCATGACCACTGCCTTCCCCAGCCATCAATGGCTACGTGAGTGACACACTGCCCGGGCTGGTGATGGCTCAGCAACAGCGGGTCCGGTGGCACCTCCTGAACATGGGCAGCACTGAGGATATCCACTCCGTCCACTTTCACGGGCAGCTGTTCAGCGTCAGGACCAGCCAGGAGTATCGCATGGGAGTCTACAACCTTTATCCTGGTGAGATGCAGCACGGGCACTGTGCACACCCCAGCTGCCAGGGCTTCATGTCCGTGCCTGTTAGGAAGTGCCAAGGCAGTGAGGGGAGAGCAAGGAGGGAGAATGGGTCTGGAAGAGCCTGGCTTTGTGTTTGCACAGTGCTTGGCACTGTGTCATCCCACAACCAGTAATTCCCCTCTGCTTTGCCCTCCATTCCTGGCCAGGTGTCTTCGGGACGGTGGAGATGTGGCCCTCACATGCCGGGATCTGGCGGGTAGAGTGCAAAGTGGGAGAGCACCAGCAAGCCGGGATGAGTGCTCTCTTCCTCGTGTATAACCTGAGTGAGTAATCCTCTTTGCGTCCTGACCCGCTTGCTGCCGTGGCCACAGCCAGCATGTTTTTGACCTCCCTCCACAGGTCTCTCAGCGTTTCCCTTGGGGTGGACCAAGTGGGATTCTTCAGGGTTTTCACTCTGAAACAATCACAACTTCAGTCCTTGCCACCCTACGCAGCTCCACAGAGAGCACAGAGTCAGGGACACGGTTGGGGTGAAGGCTGGGAGACCAGCTTCATTTGCCTGCAAGTATTTGCTCCCAGGGCTCTTGTTTTCCAAAACTGGGGGTCTCTGGACCTCCTGTAAAAAGCACTCACCCCAGCAACTGCATGCACATGCTGGTGCCGGCCCGTGCTGTCGGAAAGGTACGGTGCCAGCTGCCTAACCGCATGTCAAGAGGTAAACTGAGGCACAGAGTGATGACAGGAGGCAGTGGGCAACACTGCCTGGCTACAGGTTGCTCTGATAGAAATAGCCCTAAGAACAACTTCAAAATCCACAGGAAACCACTGACTCCATCCACCCCAGAACAACATGTTTCTACCTCACCTTAAGTAAACACTGGGGAAGCGGTTGGTGAGAGTAGTATTTTATCACACAGTGACAGGCTCTCTCCTCTTCCCAAAGGAGTATTAAATGTCAGCCAGAAAATATTTCCATAAGTTAAAAATCCACTTAAGATTTCAAATTCGCATTTTCCCCAGAAGCATTTGCCATGCAGCAGAGATGCCAAGATGTGACAAGTCACTAATAATAATGGTTATTATAAGAGACAAACAGCCCTGTGCTCAGCAGAGCAGAAGAGAGACACAGAGAGACAGGGATGTCAGGCAGGCTTTTCTTTAAACACGTGATATTTGTTTTTAAAAGATGCTGCCTAGCAACAAAAAGGCCCAAGAGCAAGACATGGGTATAAGGAAGAGACACTTGTCAGCACTGCTGGGAGATCAGGACATGGGAATGAGAAGCCAGGGACTCAGGGACGGGAGTTTGGCAAGAGGCTGCTGTGGCTGATGCTGGGAACTCTCTGCTGATGACATTGGGGTTTGGAGCAAGAACTTCCAGCGCCCCTAAAATTCAGGAGTGGATGTGGAGGCATCTGAAACCCACAACTTTGTGTGAGACAAACAAGCCAGAGGGGCTCTTGGAGGCTTGAGACAACCTCCCTGAGCCTGGAGGTTGCTACCCAGCCTAGGCTTTTCCTTTGAAAGCCTTCTTATCTAACCAACTCTCCCTGGTTTTTGTTCTCCTCCCTCTTTGGCTGCAGACTGCCGAAACAACCTCGGCCTGTCCTCGGGCCACATTGCAGACTCTCAGATCACAGCGTCGGGGCAGTACGGTGAGTAGGTATTGTCGCTGCAAGGAAGGCAGGTGAGCTCGGGGCAGCCTTAGCCAACACGACTGGGCTGCTAAACCCTAGGGTGATGCTCAGGTGCCATCCTGCTCAGGTACCATCCTGCACATCCAGCACCCTCATATCTGTACGCTCTCCTCGCAGGGCAGTGGGCTCCTCACCTGGCCAGACTGGATAACACTGGCTCCATCAATGCTTGGAGCACCGACCGCAGCAATGCCTGGATCCAGGTGAGAGGGGCCCTGTGGTTGGAGGCACCGTGGGGGGCATTGCAAGGGCACGCTTGCAGCTGATGCACTGTGCAGGGCCCGCATAGGTGGCCAGTGTCTCTCCAACTACGTCCTGCGATTTCCCTTCCTTCCTCTCTGGAAGGGGAGCTTTGAGGGCCCAATGGCAGTTGGTCTGACCGTGGTTGCTGCTAGCGTGACCTCCAGTACCATCCTCAGTGCAGCAGAGGAACCACTTGATGGGCCAGCTGCAGCATCAGCTTGTGCAAAAATCCCCCAAAGACCAAGTGAGAACAGCTCTCCTCTTCAAACAACGCTCCCCTGCCCTCTCCCCGCTGCTGGCTGACTTGTGCACTTACGAATGGCTGTTTTAACCAGTTTCATAAGCTGTGCTCAGTTATATCATGATGAAGCGAGTTTCATGGGTTTACAGTGCATTGCCTGAATGTGGCTGGGGCTTTCCATCAGAAATCAATCCCAAACTTTCTGTTTCAGGTGGATCTTTTGCATCTCATGATTATTCACGGCATAAAAACCCAAGGGGCCCGACAGAAGTTCTCCAGCCTTTACATCTCCCAGTTTGTTGTTTTCTACAGCCTTGATGGGCACAGGTGGAGGAAATACAAGGGGAATGCCACCAGCACCCAGATGGTAAGGCAAATGGGTCTTGAGGAGGGTGTCTTCCCAGGGTGGGTGATGAGGGCTAGGAAGCTCTGTATGCAAGGCAGAGATCTCCTCAGCCCCTGAGATATTTGATTAGGGCAGGAACAGTGAGCATTCACTGCCAGGATGACTGAATCACAGATAACATGTCTGCAAGCGACTTGCTGTCTGTGTCCATCCACTTCATTTAAAATTGACAGCTATTTCCTTCCACAGTCCCAGGTGGCCATGAGATCCACCACTTAACGTTATGTTCCATGTTACTTAGAGCTAGGCATAAGATTTTGCCTGAATATCTTTTTTTGACCCCAAAGGCAAACCTGGCTTTCTAAAAACATTGGGTGGGTGCAGATGATTTGCGGGATCTCTGCTTACAAGAAAGAAACACAATCTAAGTATGCATAAGCTGATCATTCCAGCAGCAGAATTAAAGTATCCAGAAAATCCTCCATCATGTACACCAGCTGTGCCCAAAAATTCCCAAGTTCAAAAGTCCCAGGACTGTCTTTTTTTTCCCCTTCTTTTTCTCCGCTGTTTGGTGAAAGTATCAAAACAAGTTCTTTACATGGACCATACGTTTCTCTTCCATCTGTTTCTCAGTGGTTCACCCCGATTTGGTCCATTCACACTTCTTTGGTCTGAATCACATCTCAGATCATTTCCCTGAGCTGCTGTTCTCTTGTAAGGATGGTGATAAGATACAGAAGTGCCAGACAAATATTCTTCTCCCCACTAATCCTTGTCCTGTCTAGCTCTCTTTTGACTCTTTTTCTTTCCCTGCAGCTGTTCTTCGCAAATGTGGATGCAACCGGAGTGAAAGAAAATCGCTTCAACCCTCCAATCATAGCCCGGTACATCCGCATTAATCCCACTCACTACAGCATCCGGACCACGCTGCGCATGGAGCTCATCGGCTGCGATCTGAACAGTACGTCCCACCTCCCGATACCGAGCACCAAAGCCAGGCCCTGATCCTGCATGGTGCTGAGCGCCAGCTCCACGTGTTTCGGGACTTGCCTGGCAGTTGTGGAGGGGCGAGGAGGAGGCTGGAGATGGCATGGAGGTGGTGGGGGAATAAAGCTGGAAAATCTTGTTATCTCTGGTCTCAGAGATAGCCAGTGCCAGAGGGAGAGCATAGAGCCAGCTCTCACTGCTGCTTTTTCCTGGTTCACCAGCAAAGCTGCTAGCTGGGGAGCTGCTGCCTCAGCCTGGGGGAGCAGGGAACAAGCAGAGACAGGTGCTGTTGGCTTTTCCTCTGGTTTTGCCACTCCAAGACTGCTCTGGCCCTCACTGTGACCTGGGAGAGTGATAAAATCTCCAGGAAGAAGGTGGGACTAGTGGCAGGTGTAGTTTGGCACTCCCTGGCCAGAGCCGTGCTGCACACATGGTGACCATGACAGCCCAGCAAGGCACAAGAGGACATGTAACCAGGGAGAGCACACGGAGGGTGGCTGGAGCAGCGAGAAGCCAGAAGGCATCTCCGTGATGGGTCTCTTCCCCACTCTGACAAGCATCACTCCTCTCTTCCAGGCTGCTCCATGCCCCTAGGAATGGAGAACAGAGGGATTCCTGACCAGCGCATCTCTGCATCCTCCTACAGCAACAGCGTCTTCTCCAGCTGGTCGCCCTCCCGGGCCCGCCTGAACCTGCAGGGAAGGACCAACGCCTGGAGGCCAAGGGTAGGCCACGCAAGGATCTTGGGGGCAAGCCGGGATCCCAGCAGGCAGGCTTGGTGCTTGCCACCTTTCCTAACCTGGGGAGTGTGTACAGCCACGGGCACGGTGCAAGATGCCTGCACGCATGTGGGAGGGTTGGCACACTGATTTAGCACCCAGCAGCTCCAACCAGATGCCTGGTAGGGCAGGTGAAGGCCAGGACTATGCGCAGGGCTCCAACGAATGTGTCTTTCCCATTGCTGCCAAAGGGTTGAAAATCATAGAATGGTTTGGGTTGGAAGGGACCTTAAAGATCATCTAATTCCAACCCCCCTGCCATGGGCAGGGACACCTTGCACTAGACCAGGTTGCTCAAAGCCACATCCAGCCTGGCCTTGAAGACATCCAGGGATGGGGCATCCACAACATCTCTGGGCAACCTGTGCCAGTGCCTCCCCACCCTCTCTGTGAAGAATTTCTTCCTGATATCTAATCTAAACCTCCCTGTTTTCAATTTGTACCCGTCTTTTGAAGGCAGTCTGTCTTTCCCCAGAGCAACAGCCCCGGCGAGTGGTTGCAAGTGGACTTTGAAGTAACCAAGAAGGTGACTGCAATCATAACCCAAGGTGCCAAAGCTGTCTTCAACCACATGTTTGTGAAGGAGTTTACTGTCTCCAGCAGCAAGGACGGTGTGCACTGGAGCCCAGTCCTGCAGGAGGGCAAGGAGAAGGTAGGCAGATGGCCAGAGGCCACCACCAGCGCAGCAAGCACAGCCCTTGGCAGCTAGTGTGCTCCCAGGTTTGTTTGCAAGAGCAGTGAGCAGGGCTGTGCTTTTTCCATCCTAAAGCATTCCCAAGTGGTGCTTGTCTGGGTTGATCGTGTCCTCAAGTCGTGGGCTCACTACACCAGCAGAGGAGAGCGCACCTCTGATTTCTCTCTCCTCTCCAGATTTTCAAGGCAAACCAAGACCACACCAGCACGGTGTTGAACACCCTGGAGCCCCCCCTCTTTGCCCGCTATGTGAGGATACATCCCTGCCAATGGCACAACCACATCGCCCTGCGGATAGAGTTCCTTGGCTGTGACACTCAGCAGGAGTACTGACAGCTGCGGGGCCAGGCATGGGCCCGAGGACCTGCATCCAACCGGACACTGAACCCTCAGCAGGGCCGGAGTCAGCCCCCCAGGGCCATGGCCTCCCTTGCTGCCAGGGAGGAGAAGGCCTGCAGAGCCATCGGAGTGGCTGGCTCCTTATCCACCTCTTCCTGTCTTTCGTCTACCAGATGCCATATAGTCAGATGTAATGCTGAAGAATTAAACAGTAATTTTCCAGTATCTCTCTGCACTTTCTCCTCTGCTCCAGCCTTGGAGTCCCTGGGGGTTCAGTCAGCATTACCAGCAGCTAGTAATTAATTAGCCCGAGAGCTTCTCAGCTTCGTTTTGCACAAGCTCCCGCTGCCCGGGCACAGTCCTGGAGGAGGAGGAGGAAGCAGCAAAGATAAGGGCTGGGGGAGGAGGCCCTGCTCCAAGCCCCAGTATCCGTTTCACAATCTGGGGATCCGTGGCTCAAGGGAAGCTCAGTCTGACTCAGCACTGGGCTTCGGCCCTCCACTTCCCTTCACCTCCCTCCCACAGTGCTCCTGCTGCCGTGGCTGGGTGCCACCATCCCGCTTTCTGTGGCTGCCCCGAGCAAGCCCTCCCTGCTCACTCGCTGGAGGAGCTCTGTAGGTGCCTGCGGCTCCCTGGGGCTCTGGTGGGACGTTGACCGCTGGATGAGCTGCTACCTCGCCATGATCCCCAGCAACATGTGCCATGGGCCGGAGCCATCTTCCCCTCCCTGGAACCCACCCCACACAGAGGCAGGACTTCCCCTCCCAGGAATGGAAACAAGCAGGGTGAACCTGACACTGGCTCCTGCCTCGTGCCTCTCATAGGGTGGGGACCTTCCGGAACAATGGCCACGCCAAGAAGACCCAGAGCGCTCAGTGGGCTGTGGAGCAGGCATGGGGTCACGCATGCTTTTCCGCCATGGCGGTGGCAGCATTGTCATCACTGCCACCTCATCAGAGCCTGTGCCAACCCATCCTCAGTACTGAGTCCTCCCGCTGCCGGGGGGCAGATGGGTAGCCCCGCAAACACCTCTGGCAGCTGGCTTTGGAGAATGGGAGGGGGTCAGCCAGTTGCTGGCCACCATCGCAGTGGGGTGGGCAGGGGGGGGGTGCACCAGCCCAGCATGAGCCCGAGGTTGGCTTGTGAATCCCATCAAACGCCCCATCGGTCGGTCGGTCGGTGCTCCCAGCGGTAAGAGAGGTGACCGGGGGCAGCGGTGGGAGAGCTCTGCCAGCAGCACTGAGGGAGGGGGGTGGTGGAGACCCCAGGGCCCTGCCATGACCAGGCCGGCTGTGCGAGGGAGGGATGGCTGCTCTGAGCACCCAGCTCCTGCCATGCCCCGGGTGCGCAGCACTGGCTGTGGGGCACACAGGCGCTGCCCTCCACAGCTGGTGTCTGGAGGAAGCAGCGACCCACGCTGCAGGTCAGACCAGTGGGGTGATCTGCCAAGGAACTCACACCAGCAAAGATCGGTGTCTCAAACGAAGCAGGGCTGAAAAAGCCTCATGCAACAGCAGAGCTCCACATTGCTCTACAAGAAGCCTTTGCTGCGGCCCTGGCAGTGATTGCATTACAAGGCCATGCAGGAGATGCAATCACCATTTGGCTTAATTACATCCTGACAATAACCAGGCACAGATGTGAGGAGAGGCTGCTGGTGCTAGCCTGAAGAGCCATGAACTTCTCAAAGAGGAACACCCCTGCCTGAGGCAGGATAGCCTTCAGCCTGGGAGGACAAAACCTGCCACCTTGGGCCCTTCTCGAGGCAGCCTTCTTCAGCTCCAAGGTAACCACATCCCTCCTGAACGCAGAGGCCAATGCTGCACAGGGACAGCTGGCTGCAGTCTCTGGGCCACCAGTGCAGAGGAGCATCCCATGCCTGGTGAAGGGCCTGATGGCAGAGAGAAGAGCGCAGAGACATCAGCGCAGACCCAAACAGCAGCTGGACTGTAGACAGAGATCCACACACACCTGCTGGGCAACTGGCCCAGTCCCTCATGTTGATGCCTTTGGACAAGGGCAGGGATGTGCACCCTCTGCCCATGGCCACACTGTGGGCTAGGCTGGGCCTGACCAGCTGAAGCTTAAACACCCGTTGGGCAGGGACTGATGGGGATTGATCAAGAGCAGAGGGTTTTGGCAGCACAAAACTGGTGACCACAAAACAAGCCCACACAGAAGCTGGCTGAGATGCAGGTGTGTCTCAGATGTCACACAGGACTGGCTGCTGCATATGGTGTTGGCTACCTTGTCCCTCAGGGTTGGTACCCAGCTCTGCCTGGTGAAGCAGGGACATGGTCCCTGCCTGTACTGGTGGATGCTCAGGCTCATCCTGCCTCCAGGAACAGGCTGCCGTGTTGTGGCACGCTTGTCCGGTGACACAGGGTTAGACAAGAAAAAAAGCTGTGTGCACCTGAGCCCCCTCTGGGTCATTTTCAAAAAGCAAATGGGGCTGAAATCCATGCAGGTGACAGAGCAGCCTTCACCAACCAGCCCTGAGCAGCTCCAGGATGCAGCTCCAGTCACCCAGGAAGCAGTGAAGGGGCTGTGCTGGGCAATAGGGCTGGGAAGGGGCTGTGGGCAGGTGGGTAGATGTGTCAGAGCCTGTCAAGCTCTGGCATCCATTACTGGAATGTCTCTTGACATTTATCCCGTGGGGAAAGGGAGACCAGATGCTATTTCCTCCCAGCACGATGCAGATCTGAGATGCATCGCAGCCTTCCCCAAGCCACAGACGTTTCTGTGCTGGGGAAGGGCTGGACCAGCACAAAGCCCTCTGCCTCTAGGTCAGGGGATGCCCTGGCTCATCACCACCCCACAGAGGGCCCTGCTGTGGCCGGGGCTACCTGGCTGAATCCTCCCGGTCACTGGGAATCTTCTCTTTCATGGCTTGGCTGCTAGGACTGCCAAGGCTGGGTGGTCCATGCCCATGGAGCTACCTGGTGTCTCCAGGAAAACAAAATGCAGCCCTGCCACCCCTTTCTAGTATAGCCCAAGCAGAGATTACCCTAGGAGAGGCTGTGGGGTCTGTGCAGGGGGTGTCTCGCGGCAGTTCCCTTCTCCCACAGTCCTGGGAGCTGCAGGGCCACCCTTCTGCAGAATTCTCCGAGACACTTAACTCGTGGGGCAGAATGGATCAGTCTCTGATCACACCCAATGCTGCTCTCTTTATTTCAGGTGCCTAAATGGGCAGAGACCACCCGGGGTGAGTTCATACTACCCCCTGACTCGCTCTCCAGGAGAGGTGAGGCTTGCTTTCGATAAGGACTCCTCTTCCCAGGCTGCCTCAGGGTAAGGATGCTCCAAAGTGCTCTGCAGATCCTTCTTGGTCAGCTGGGCAGGGCCAGGGGAGATAACGGTCCAAGCAGCATCCTCCAGCCTAGTGACCACATCTGTTAGTGCTGAACAGTCAGGCACCCCGGGACTTTTCTAGGGATCCCTGACTTAGCCTTTTATTTTCTCATCCTAATCTGATTTTACAGGCTCTCCAGGAAATCCTGAGATGAAGTCTGGGGCACAGGTCCCATGGTGCTGCAAAACATGACACACAGCTGTCTGTCTTCTGCTCCTGGTGCTGACTGCCCTGATCTGCCACCACTGCAAGCCTGTTGTGCGATTTGGTGTGCAGCTTATACATAACCTGATTAGCATTAGTAGCTAAATTTGCTGAAGCCTTAGGCCGCAAGCTGTGAACTTTCATCCAGATATGCTGAACTTTTACCGAGTTAAGTATAAGAAGGCCCCAGAGCTGGTTTGAGCTAGAAGATAAGGAAGGCCGTTACCTTCATCAGCTGACACAGCAACCTCAGAGATAAGAGAAGAAACGGCCCACCTAGAGACAATGAAGGGACCCAGTGAGGAACAGGAAGACCCCAGACCCTAATATTAACTACTGGTCAGAACTGTCACGTGAGCTGTGGGGAACTTGGACTGAAACTGGTATAATTACCCCCCAGGGTTTTCTTTGTTTGAGATCCCTCTTTGGAGGCACACGGTTCAAGCCCCGTGTCGGATAAATAAACCCCTTATTCACTCATCTTCTTCAAGGGGGAACCTAGGGCTGAGCCCTGTTATGGTGGCATCCTTCCTGGTAGGTGGTGTAATTCCCTCAGCAGATCCCAAGGCCACTTCCCAGCTGGGCAGCGTGAGGCTGAGGGTAGGGCAGGAAGTGGATCTGGAGCTACGTGTGGATGATGCCCACTCCAGCCAATTCTGAGTGGCAGATCCATGGGCTTCTATTTCTTAATCCCCATCCACTTGACATATCTGCTGTGGAGGAGAAAGGGTGGGCAGTTAGCCCGATGGGGCAGTCCTGGGCTGGAGACCACTGCAGGAACTGCAGCCAAAGGGCTGGAATTTTCTTGGGAAGTTTCTTGGGAAGGATGAAGTTTTTCACCACAGGAGGGGGTGGGCACGTAGCCCCTTGTGATCCGAGGGCTCCCTCTCCAGCAGCCCCCACTGGGGAACACACTTTGAGTTGCCCCAGGCTCGCTCCTCCGCTGGCTGTGCATGCCAGTAAAACCAGTTTGCACAGAGGGCACTGGGTTTGTCCTGGGACTGAAATTCCTTATGTGGCCCCAGAGTGAGGGAAGTGGCATGTGTTTGTGGAGTGAGAAGGGCTGGATGCTACACATTAGCACAGGGAAGAAGGCCTGACCCTGCCTCAAAATACACTCGGAGCCAAGAAAAAGGAGGATTTCTAGTGT